GATGTAGAGTTCCAAGCTGGGGAGAAGGTGTGGCTGAACACCAAGAACCTCAGGCTACCTAGTGGGATCAGCTGAAAGTTGACCCAAAGGTAAAAATGCAAGTATTCTTGTAAATGAATTGATCTTGAGTTCCTTAAGCAGGTTCGTGGGGCCTTACGAGATTGAGGCACGAATTGGTAAAGTGGCTTACCGTCTCTGACTTCCTCGAGAGATGGGGAAGATGCACCCAGTGTTCCACATGAACTTACTCAAGCCGTACTTTGAGGATCCACTTCGCAAGGACCAAGTGAGTGGGATGCTAGGAACCTGGAGGTTTAGTGTGCTTGGCTGCTTGTGCCTGTGGGGAGTGTAGCTGAACCTTAAGTCCAGTCTAACCTGGGGAGGGGGATTGGGAGAGATTTGGGAATCTGTGGATGGATGGCTAATGCTCCGTTGCTTGTGCAGTGAATAGTTAAAACCAAGTAGGACCAAGTAGGAGCTGGTACAATAGGTAGGAACCTTGGTGTAGCGCACGTGGTTTTTATGCAAACACCCATGGTGATTTACCATAGGATAACACCACGAAGCAGAACCTAAACCCCTTTTGTGCCATATGACAGATGCCACATGTCACATGCCACATGTCCAAAGGAACGTGGTGTGGAACTCAAGGTTCAGGGCCTTGGGCCACTGAACGAAGGAACAGTGCCAAACTCCCAAGTGTGGAGCCAAGGAGTGATAGAATCGAACCACGGAACAACTCCCGAACATACAGCCCAAGGAGCGAAGGGACAGGAGCCTGGAGCGACTTGGAATAGTCCTGGAGCAACCAGCATCCTAATGCCAGGACTAGCATGCAAAATGGAACCAAACGGAGTCTGGCACTATTTCGGCATACCGGTGGCCTAACGCGAGGATATGGGTACCCCACCAACTAGCATGGTATGGAACTTAGGCTTAGACCCAAGCCGGACGCAGAACAAAGATAGGCACGCAAGCGGAAGCTAGACTATGCCTCTGGTTGGTCGGCCATGCCCGACCTACCCACTATCCCTACTATACATTTGGAACCCCCCACAGCCTCCCCCCCCTGCCCCCCCCTTCCCCCCTTCAGGAACACACGCTTTGGGCTTTCACCCCAAGCCTCTAGTATCAGGAGTTAGTCTCTGGGACAAGCTCGAAACTTATTAAATATGGAATGTCCTTAAATTGCAAATTTGGACACAGGACGAACACCATTGTGTTCAGGCCGATCTCTATATTCCGTAGATATGCCAAATGAGCAAATCTGGACACTTTCCATAAATAGTATTTGGGACCAAAATGAGACTAATACAAAGGGCATGATAGTGAGGGTGTTTGGCAAACACGGTAAGCTATCATCTAGCGATATTGAGGGACCAATCTCAATACGCGAGGGTTCTTGTCACTAGCAAGTGCAAGACAAAATGAGATGGGAACTTCTTACTGGGCTAAGTATGCTTAGCTAATAACACGTAGGAATTCCATCCTTATACTTGTCCGGTCTAAGTACACTCGAAATGCCCAGTTAACTCCACTAGCACAAGAGGGACTAATAAAGGGTCTAGCAATACCAACCTCCTACCATCGTGGCAGTAAAGTAAGAGTGTCAGTAAGGACTGGTCGGCAGGTAACTTTCAATACCCGAAGTCACATGTGCGACACTTGGTGAGGGAACTTAGCAAAAGCCAAGGCAGTGTTAGTCGGATAGACAAGGTAAGCTGGCAAAGTGGAAAGAAAAAATTTGTGGCTTACACCTTTGCTTCTTGGGCTGTATACTTAGAAGTTGCTCTGTGGTTTGGTTCCGACACTCATGTTTAGGAGTTTGGCTCCATTCCTTTGTTCAGTGGCCCAAGGCCCTGAAACTTGGGTTCCACACCACTATCCTTTGGACACATGGCATGTGACATGTGGTGCCACATAGAAGGTTTAGGTTCCATTTTATGGTTATCTTATGGTAAATCACCATACGATAAAAGGCTTTCAATGGCACTCGCCATTTAAGAACATGCATTCAACCCAAAACTTTAGCCAAAGTGACTCAACTTTAGAACAAATAAATATTGAGCACCAAATTTAATGAAAGACTTTGCTAATGAAAGAAAGTAAAATTTTTAACTTCATGCATATATTTAATATCTAAATTAGTATAAAGAGGATATAAAACACTCAATTGAACACTAAATTAAGAATGAAGAAGATATAAAACATTCAACTCAACACTAGATTGAGAATGAGAATGATAAAAGTCACAAATGATCCATGTGCTATGAAAAAGAAACATTACAAATGAGGAAGAAATATCATAAATAAAAGAAGGTGGTTCAAATAAAAAAATAAATAAAAATTTGGAAAGAACAAAAGGTAAAGAAAAATGATCAAATAAGAGATTAAAGGATTGACACTTATCTCGCAAAATCTCAAAACAATCTAGAATTCACTCAAGCTCATACTTATAAACTAGATCTTTGAACATTTGTTAAAAACTAGATTACATCATCTATGATTCACCAATTGATATCACAATCATGTTTCATATCAATGAGAGATGGCATAATACCAAGAATAGAATAAATTATATAATCACCCATAAAATTTTGAGATAGCAACACACCAAGAACACCAATATAATTATACCCTATAACACTAAAGGTTTGATCCAATGGAGTAACATTAACAATCTCAAATAACATATTCCTTGACATGGCATAGTAGAAGAAGAAAAAAAATCAATAAAAATAAAAAGAAAGAGTAGATCTAAGCACAACTACAACTAGAGTTTTAGATCTGGCATAAAGCTAATAAAAATCTAGTTTTAAAAAAGAATGAAAAAGTAAAAAAAAAAGAACAATATCCTAAACACTAGATCAAATATATTTTAAATACTAGATTACAAAAAAAAATTGCCTTTCCTCACCTTTACCAATGTGAGTGTTCAAGATATAAGAATAGGTATTATATACAAAAATGGATGAACTAATTTAGTCCTAAATGGATGGTATAGTATTATAATTAATGCATACATACATTTACAAACTTTACAATTGTAAATTAACATAAATAACAACAAAATAATAACATAAAAAATAACAACAATATATTCTTTTTCTATATATGTATAGTGAACCTAAGTTTAAGCCTCCAGGTGCACCCTCATATCCCAGGAGAAGAATTCTTGTTCGACTCTTTCTTCCTGAGCTTGAGAATGGCCAGGATTTGGATACCTCTGAGCATTGGAAATAGCAACACTCCACCACTACCATCAAAAGCCCTTGAAACACTGTTCGATACTTTAGGTTCGAGACAGGAGTAGAGCAAAACGGGGATAGCTCTGTTTGTGAAAATGGTAAAAGCTTTTTGCATTTTCATCTTCCTGTTAAGGGGATGTAGCTTAGATGGTAGAGTGCTCGCTTAGCATGTGAGAGGCAATACCCAGCATCTCCAAATCTTTTCGCCTTCGTGGACTTCGCGATTCCAAGAATGGAAACTGGTCAATAAATAAATGACAATCCGAAAGGCACAAGTGTGCCTATCCCATCGCTAGCAGAAAATCTCGTCCCTCCTTAACACGATCCACCAAAACCTCCACTCAGATCTCGCTGCTCACCACCAGCGTCATCTTTCCTCCTGCACATGCGAGACCCTCAACGTTTAAGTGTTTGAGTGGCGACTTTCCAACATTCCATTGTTCCATGGCAATGCGAGGTGGATGGAAACCAACACCATTGCCTGCCGTGAACAGAAACTCCGGCAGCGTAAACGAGGCCCGCGCGTTGGGAAGTATAAAACTGGATGTTTGGTAAGAGCACACGAAAAAGCACTTTGAGCAAAAAAGATTTAAGCCCACTGTTTATAAGCAGGTTTTCAGTTGGAATTTCCAGATCTGGAGGCTTCGTTTGTGATGGCGATGGTTTCTGGTAGATTATGTGCTCGCATCTCCGAAATGCGTAGGCCGGGCTCAAGTCCACTCTCGTTGTGCACTGCCAGCGATCTTTTCCCTTCCTCCTACTCGCACCAGAGGAGCCGGTCAAATGTCGGCGATCGTGTCGCGAGGGAAAGCACGTAGCTGGAATCTCTGAAAAAAGTCAAGAGCAATCCAAGGTGACCACACTCTCAAGCTTCTAACTCAAGCTTTCTTCATCGATTTCGTGCTGTCCTTGATGGCAGGAGATCTTGATGGCAGGAGATCCATGTCTGGTCAGGTGGATTCTCCAGATGTGCGACCTCTGCGCCTCGCAAGCGGTGACCACGGACAAAGTCACTCGCATGCTCTCCATTTTCAAGCAAAAGGTCTTCTTCATGCAGGCTGTGATGCTTGTATTTGGAGCATTTCTGCTCATCAGAAGCGGTGGATGTCGCACAGGAGGTTCGCACGTATCCAAGGCATTCTTCGTGGGACGAGTGCCAAAAGAGTAAGTGGACAGTGTGCGGTGTTGGGAGATTGCTATCAGCGCTGGTGCGTTTGGAAACAACCCGTACGAGATCTTGGTTTCGCTTCACAACTTCACCTGGTTGGACCTTGGACGAGACCATCAATTTGTAAGCGCTACGTTCCTCAAGAAAAATCTCTACGAGTATATGGATAAGCTGCATCCTTTTACTCAAGAAAGGATGAAATGTGTACTGATTGCTAAGTAGATGCCAAGAGCTTAAAGAGACCTTAAAAGACAGCTAATTGGAGCATCCAATTTGCAAGTTTTATCCGTGGAGGTGTCGCTGAAATCGATCGCGATCGCTGGAAGCGCAGAGAAGAGATTGATCGCGTCAAGAGATCAATTCACATTGTGGCCAGTCATCCGCAAGAACAGGGTTTTCACGTCAATTCACGAATTTGCCCAGGAAGGGCATCTTTCGGAGAAAGGAATCGGATAGACCCAGAATGGGCTATTCGGGCAAACGTCCACGTGTAAACATGGATGAAAAGAAAACGAGTTCATGAGCGTGCCTTGGTACCTATAGTTTCATAGAAAAACATTTTTTTTTTTTTTTTAAAAAAGTGTTTACTTCATTGGATGAATGGAAAGAAACAAAAGCTTCATTCCCAGATGCATCTCTCCAGATATGACAGACATGACGAAGTAGTAGCAAAAGATTGCAAATGGGGTAGTTCCTAGCAAGTCTGAAAGCAAGGAAACAATTCAGGTCTAGAGATCGCATCAACAGAAAGTACCCCCAGCACTGTCAAGCTGAATAAAGACTTGGTTCAGAAACGGAAAAGCTGGAGGATTGACAAGCATGAAAACAAGGATGTGGAGAAGCCAAATTATAGACAAAGCCAATCTGCAACAAGAAAAACAAAAGAAGAAGTGAATATCTTTGTCAAGCCTTCAGAGTCTATTTCTTACCCGAGAATGCCAAAAACAAGCTTGGCTAAGTAGAAAAGAACTGTAAGAGCCCAGGATGTGTCTTCCTGAGAGAAACTCCAGCAATGAAATAACATAAATGGGAAACTAGAGATACCTTCTCTCCCTGCATTCAGAGCTTGAACATCATCTTCCAAAAAGACAAGCTCCTGAATCGAGCTACACATATGCATTTGTCAACACGATCATGTCCACCACTTTTGTTTTGCTTTCTTTTTTTCCTGTGTGCAGTGGAGCTGACCTGCTGGACTTTCTTCACATTTTTCCGAAGCTTTCGTCCTTTCTTCCCACCTCTTTCTTCGCGTTGGAGACCCAAAGTCACCTTTTTTAGCACGTTGGAGCTCTTGGCTAAGTCAGTCGCCTCCTGCAAAGCCATCACCTTGAAGAGATTAGTTGCAAGAAACGTAAAAAGAACTGAAGCACATACTATTCAGCACGAGTAATAACACACTTGGGCCTATTCTTGAATGCAAATATGAGGCTCAGTGGTAATGTTGCGATTCGAACACCTCCGAACATCTGCAGGAAGGAAATCACATGTTCTAGAAAACAAAACGACATTACCGTGAAGAGTATTGATAATGCGATCACGTACGTCGGGAACACACACAGACCACGTAGTTTTAACCAGAGATCCAGACGTATAAGCTGCACACTATTATAAAACATTGCCAGACAAATGAAGAAAGGGAAAATGTAGAAGAAAAGGCTTACCATGAGAGTAACATTTGAAGACAATGAGAAACAAGCACGGAGCCTTTGCATTGAGTGAGCTAAAATCATTGGTGAACGCCAACGTCCTGGACGTTTCACGGTGAAATCAGCATAGCTGATCACAGCTTCAAGCAATCACGTAGAAAAAAACGAAAGATAGAAAAGAGCTTCTTACCTTAGAGAATTCCCAAGAGGAGGCAGAAGACTGTGAGGAGTATCACCACCCACAAGAGGGCGTTCTTTACCCTTTGTGTCACAGTCCTGGAAATCACCAAGAACAAAGAAAGCTTTTGAGATCATGGAGGAATAGAAAGAACTTAAGAAACTCTAGGGGGAGCTCGGTCGACCAAGTGTTCTGGAAGATTACTTCTCCTGGTCGCTCTCGTAGAAGAAGATCGCGAAAGGGAATGACGAGATAGACGAGCACAGTGTCGATGATGTAAACCACCCACCATAGCTGCTTCATCGGGAGAGTGAGCTTACACACCCCGACGTAGAGATTCTTCTCGCAGGAATGGCGATTCACGGCGTCCGCCGGGAGCATCAGGATCGAGAGTTGGGCAATGCTGAGCTCAATCACGACGATGATCTTGGGAAGATAGGCCTGACTCGAGTCATCCGGATGCTGGTACCTGATGAGAATGTAGATATTGATCGCGAAGACGAGCAGCGTGAGGAGCACCACGATCACCAGCAGCACTACATTCTACTCTTGCGGATCAGATTTTGAACACAATAACGTCTGGTGAAGCTGATAGTCTGGATAATCTCGAGGTAGCAGTCTTACGTTTTATTTGATACACGCACACTTTTAACGCTCTTTTCCCGTGCCAGCATTTTGAGGGTCTCTGTGACATCCTTGGCTCGGGAGCAACGAAGCATCAAGGCCTGTCGTTCCTAGCAAGGTACTCACTTTATACAGTTGCGAAACTATCCGGAGCTCACTTCTAACTTCACACAGGTACAAAAGCTTTAAGGCAGCGCTGCAAAACATCAGAGATCTGCGTCGTAGGGAGGCTTCCTACACCGAAAACCTCGCTGCGCGAGGCAGAGCAGCGGTGACTTCTCTTCTCCAGGTTACCAATCCGTTCGGAACTTCTTCTTGCTCGCTAAAACCCCGGCTTGCAGCTTCTAAAATCTGGAACCTTTCCACGTAAATTCTGGCTGTCCTTGCTCCAAGAATCGGTATGGAGCTGTTCTCACATCTCGTTTACACTCTAAACTTTCGATCCATCAGGTGGAGCTGCTGGAATGGCCGGAGCAAGTGCTGGTTAGCGAGTCCAAAACAAACACTCTACTCTGCTGCCTCCAGGAACTCTTCCTCGCCAGGGACCGGCGAGAACGACATCCTAAGCACCGCAGAGCCTGGCGCTGTGGATCGCCTGAGATTGGCGCTGGCATCCAACTTGGGCCGTGCCAACTTGCAAAGCTGATCGTTTCTTCGATGTCAAACGAAGGTAGGATTTCTTCTTGAACTGTACAATGTAAGAACTTCGCTAAAAGTCAATATTTAGTCAACATAGTCTTCTGTCATTGAAAATGTTAGCTTTTCATTGTTTTTCATACTTGAACTCAGCAATTAATCGATACACATGTACGGCTACGTTGATTTGTTAGTCACCCTCAAAACCCAGCACTACTGCAGCAGCGTCGTCCCTTCGTACTCTGCTGGGAACAGATGCCCGCAACGCCTCCCTAGTCTCGGGCACCCAAAGCATCTCACGCCTGCCTTGGATGGATACAAGTCGGGCTCCCCAATCTCGGACAAGCCCAATCAAGCTTTTGCTACTCTCCGACGTTCGCGGCCACCATCAATTCTCCGAGGGTTTTGAAAGCTTAAACTTTCTTAAAGTTGAATGAACTCTCTGAGACGATGTGAAAGTTGACTTAGTGTTGACTTAGTGGACCTGTGGTTTTCCACAAGCACTGGTTCCTTTGCAACGCGATGCGGTTCCAGCGACCGGCTGGGGCAAAGTCGTCTACGCGAGGAGAGGAGAGCAGTTTATCATGCCCTAAAAGTATATGCGTAAAGAATATGAAACGATTATCTGATTTTTTTCAAAGTCATGGTCAAGCTAGACTACTGGACCGAAGGAGGCTTGGCGTTTTCTGTTTGGTGTAAATGCGTTTCCTGCACCGAAATCGCTTTCTGCACTAAACTAATCTTTCAGAACTCTCAATGCACATAATCAGCTTTTGTTTTTTAACCGGTATGCATTTTTGGAGGTATATGTATGACGAAGTCATGCAGTGATGAGTAAAGCTATACTTTCATTTTTGTTAACCATGTTTTCTGCACTAAACTAACTCATTTAGCCCATTATAAAAATGAGTATGGAGTATGTACATACCTCTTCTGAAGGTGAATTGCAATGGCAACCATGGTGACAATGCTGGGAGCCTTCGGTTCATTGAAGGAGATTGGTGACATTGTGGCGAATTTTGATTTCAGCAAGGTAAAGTGGAACCTGTCTTGCCCAAAGCAGTGTTTAACTCCTTGTGGAATGCTCCAGATTGATGTGCGTTCCAAGAGTTCTGAGGATTACCTCCACACCAACCTGGCACCATCGTTTGGGACATTGAATCCAGAAACAGTGAAGAAGATGGATGAGGTTCTCAAGGTTTGCATCTCGGGAACTACCACTCTTCTCGCCAAAGTGCCACCAGAAGAGCGAACTTGGGAGAAGGTCAACTCCATGTTCATGCAAAATCCCTTGGGCGATGGGGTTAGCAGAGCTGACAAGTTTCTCAACAAAAGCTGCGATTTCAAGTTTGACGGGTCACCAGACCCAGCTACTGTGAAAGCGGTAATAGAGTCATGTATTATGGAAGAGCTCTATTAACCTTTGCGGCCTTCTCTCGTCACAGGTTCAGGTCTGGTTTGTGAATCTCATTGCAGATGAGGACGTCCTGAAATCAACCAAGATCGACATTAAAGTTGTTGGGGAAATTGTTGCTCAGTCAGGGGCGACCATTACCAGCTTTGAAAATTTCTTTGCCAAGCATGAGCACCACGAGAAGACCATAATTGACATCGGTACCCTGATATGCAAAACCCGTACTTCAAGGTTTGTGCCCAGGCTGCCCTTTGTATTTCAGTCACAGCTCATGCTTATGAGTACAGGTGTACCGCATCAAACTCTTTGCTTGGTCTGATAGCAACCATATTGTGTTCCATCAGGAGGATTCCAATGGCATCATTGGAGGTGAGGTGTCTAATGTAAACCACTGAAGACTACACGCTCCTTTTGTTCTATTTGCAGAGTTCACCTTCCGTAAGTTTAAGCCGTGCAAGGAGGTCATTGACAAGATAAACCCAGATGCCAAAAAGAAGGCTGTGGAAGCTGCAGATGACATCTTTGGTTTCTAATATCCAGACTGTGTCAATTGAGCCAAGATGTCCCCTACTTCAAGCTAAAACACCTTTCTAAATAATAATCAAGTCATAGCCCCTCGTGACCTAGATGCTTTGGATTCCTAGTACTTTTGTCAATGTAGCAAATTTTTGCCTTCCACTGGAACATTGAAAGGTGATGATAAGTTTATCTATCTATCTATATACTGTTTATAGTCTTGTGGTGCCCATCAAGAAGCATAAGTATTCTTTGTGATATATTAATAAAACGAAACAGGACAGTTTGCCATGTGAAGATCATTATCATTGTCTCGTTGGTCTTTGTAGATTCGTTGCACTCAAGGTTACCACAAGTGAGCCAGGGACACCCTCAATCAGCTCTAAGCCGAGTTGATGGCTTAGTCGTGCGGCTGTGAGTGCCATTTGGCTCTCCATCTTGCTGGATTTTCCCATCCTGTCGCTTTGATGCAAACGACCCCAGGAACACTGTCGCAATAATATTGTAGAGCAACAAGGTGTCTCAGACAAGGGAATATCTAATTGGATTTTGACAAGGAACAGAACTTCGAAAATAGAACTTTAGAGAATGCTACTTGGAACAAGGCAAAGGGAGGCCCACAAAACCGTCGAGCTTTTCCTCCTCCTGTAACTCACGAACTTTGTCACGAGCACATTGTAAGTTTTCTTTTGCAAATGCTTACGTACTGACCAGTAGGCGTGACATCTCCTGCTATAGGGTCGAGTTTTTAGGATCCTAGAAATCTAGGACAAGACGATCAAGATACAGTTGTAAATGTTTTAAATTAATAAGCTAAATGCGCGAATCTCTCCAAAACAGCAACTTCACTTTGGTCTTTTCTTAGTTTCTTGTCCAGCTGAGAACAGAGGTTTGTCTAGCTCAAGCATGAGTTTCTAAATGAATACGTGACATGGTTGAATTATAGAGCTTAAACATTAAGCAAATAGTTTGACCTTGACCATGACCTTTTCAAAAGTCAATATTAGTCAAATTTATTACATAATCAACGGCTACTTTGATTTTCTTCCTCTCGCAGCAAGGTGGTCCCTTCGTACTCGGTGCTCGCTCCCTCCTCGCCTGCCAAATACCTCCCAATCTCAAGGCTGGTGCCAAACTCGTTGCAGGAGAACGCAATAACAGCTTTCCATGCTAGGCAGGAGCGTTCACTTCCACTGGCCACGCCTTCTGAAGATCAATCCTAGCCAAGCCTCGCCATAACTCATATTGCAGTGGAGTAGAAGATGGAGGGTGTTTCTGTCCTGCGTCTATACAAATACATCATTGTTTTCATGCTAGTCAATCCTCCAGCTTTTCCGTTTCTGAACCAAGCCTTTATTCAGCTCGACAGTGCTTGGGGTACTTGCTGTCGATGCGATCTCTATATTTGAATTGTTTCCTTCCTTCCAGGCTTGCTAGGAACCACCGGAATCTTTTGCTACTACCTCGTCATGTCTGTCATATCTGGAGAGATGCATCTGGGAATGAGGCTTCTGTTTCTTTCCATTCATCCAATGAAGTATATTTTGCTTGATCCCAGATTCGCTGGAACTGCATTGCCATCGCGTCGAAGTACTCCTCCCCGGCCACCAAGGAACCAAGCAAGTGGAAAACCGCCCAGCCTCATTCGTGACATCGAAGAACTCATCCATGTAGGAAGGAGGGGGGACACGACGTCGAGACGTCGAAGTCGGATAGGAAAGCTTTCACGTCGTCGTCGGGCCCAGACAATATACAGCGAGCAGGCTTTCAGGATCTCCTCGGTGCCTGGAAGAGATATCAATGCTCATTCTGATCAAGAAGAAATCACGAGGGGCTGCTGGCTGCTGGCTGGATGGCCGTCCCCGTCAGCAGGGCAACAAGGCGGGAGGGCTTGTACGGAAGATGTTCCCTCCACCAAGAGGAGACAAGATCAAGCTTGTCTGCCCTTTCCTCAACGTAGGGCGGAAGGGGAGAGGCCAAATTATAGACAAAGACAAGCTGCAACGAGAAAAATAAAAGAAGAAGTGAATATCTTTGTCAAGCCTTCGGAGTCTATTTCTTACATGAGAATGCCAAAAACAAGCTTGTCTAAGTAGAAAAGAACTGTAAGAGCCCAGGATGTGTCTTCCTGAGAAAAACTCCAGCAATGAAATAACATAAATGGGAAACTAGAGATACCTTCTCTCCCTGCATTCAGAGCTTGAACATCATCTTCCAAAAAGACAAGCTCCTGAATCGAGCTACACATATGCATTTGTCAACACGATCATGTCCACCACTTTTGTTTTGCTTTCTTTTTTTTCTGTGCGCAGTGGAGCTGACCTGCTGGACTTTCTTCACATTTTTCTGAAGCTTTCGTCCTTTCTTCCCACCTCTTTCTTCGCGTTAGAGACCCAAAGTCACCATTTTTAGCTCGTTGGAGCGCTTGGCTAAGTCAGTCGCCTCCTGCAAAGCCATCACCTTGAAGAGATTAGTTGCAAGAAACGTAAAAGGAATTGAAGCACATACCTTTACGTATTGAGCACGAGTAATAACACACTTGGGGCCTATTCTTGAACGCAAATATGAGGTTCAGTGGTAATGTTGCGATTCCAACACCTCCAAACATCTGCAGGAAGGAAATCACATGTTCTAGAAAACAAAACATAAAACGACATTACCGTGATCCTATTATTGTGTTTAATGCCTGTCGTTCCTAGCAAGGTACTCACTTTATACAGTTGCGAAACTATCCGGAGCTCACTTCCAACTTCACGCAGGTACAAAAGCTTTAAGGCAGCGCTGCAAAACATCAGAGATCTGCGTTGTAGGGAGGCTTCCTACACCCGAACGGATTGGTAACCTGGAGAAGAGAAGTCACCGCTGCTCTGCCAAGTGCAGCGAGGTTTTCGTAAAACCCCGGCTTGCAGCTTCTAAAATCTGGAACCTTTCCACGTAAATTCTGGCTGTCCTTGCTCCAAGAATCGGTATGGAGCTGTTCTCACATCTCGTTTACACTCTAAACTTCCGATCGATCAGGTGGAGCTGCTGGAATGGCCGGAGCAAGTGCTGGTTAGCGAGTCCGAAACAAACACTCTACTCTGCTGCCTCCAGGAACTCTTCCTCGCCAGGGACCGCCTAGAGAACGACATCCTAGGCACCGCAGAGCCTGGCGCTGTGGATCGCCTGAGATTGGCGCTGGCATCCAACTTGGGCCGTGCCATCTTGCAAAGCTGATCGTTTCTACGAAGGTAGGATTTCTTCTTGAACTGTACAATTCAGAAGCGTGAGTCTAATTAAGCAAGTAGTTTGACCGTAGAACTTCGCTAAAAGTCAACTTTTAGTCAACAGAGTCTTCAGTTATTGGAAGTGTTAGCTTTTCATTGATTTTCATACTTGAACTCAGCAATTAATCTATACATATATACGGCTACATTGATTTGTTAGTCACCCTCAAAACCCAGCACTAATGTCGGGTTTTTAAAGCTTAAGCTGTTTTTTAAGTTGAATAATTTATCATGCCTTAAAAGCATATGAAACAATTGTCTGCATGGCAGCATTGGGTCAAAAGCTAAACTACTGCACCAAAGGAGGTTTGGTGTTTTCTACTATGTTAGGCATTAAGTCAGGATAATAGAATAAAGAAATGGCATTACACACCCCTTTACTCAGTTGGGTTTAAGGTAGGATTGTAACATTAATATTGGAGCTTAATTCAATTTTTTATGGCTAACAAGTGGGGCTCTGAAATAATATTTAACATGGTGGATCTAAAGGAAGAAGCAAAGTCTAATAGATCCTAAAAAAAGGTGACAGGAGGGTGATTCTTCTTCTAGTGTACACTTCTGAAAGTGAATTGCAATGGCAACCATGGCGACAATGCAGGGAGCCTTTGGTTCATTGAAGGAGATTGGTGACATTGTGGCGAATTTTGATTTCAGCAAGGTAAAGTGGAACCTGTCTTGCCCAAAGCAGTGCTTAACTCCTTGTGGAATGCTCCAGAGTGATGTGCGTTCCAAGAGTTCTGAGGATTACCTCCACACCAACCTGGCACCATCGTTTGGGGCATTGAATGCAGAAACAGTGAAGAAGATGGATGAGGTTCTCAAGGTTTGCATCTCGGGAACCACCACTCTTCTCGCCAAAGTGCCACCAGAAGAGCGAACTTGGGAGAAGGTCAACTCCATGTTCATGCAAAATCCCTTGGTTGAGCCAATGGGCGATGGGGTTAACAGAGCTGACAAGTTTCTCAACAAACTCACAAAGGATCACATTTTTTATGGAGTTATTGTGAAAGCAGTAATAGAAGTTATATATTATAGAAGAGCTCTATTAACCTTTGCTGCCTTCTCTCGTCACAGCTTCAGACCTGGTTTGTGAATCTGATTGCAGATGAGGACGTCCTGAAATCAACCAAGATCGACATAAGTTCTTTGGGAAATTCTTGCTCAGTCTGCCAAGCATGAGCACCACGAGAAGACCATAGTTGACATCGTGGTCTTAAGGTACCCTAATATGCAAAACGTACTTCAAGGTTTGTGCCCAGGCTGCCCTTTGTATTTCAGTCACAGCTCATGCTTATGAGTACAGGTGTACCGCATCAAACTCTTTGCTTGGTCTGATAGCAACCGTATTCTGTTCCATCAGGAGGATTCCAATGGCATCACTGGAGGTGAGGTGTCTAATGTAAACCACTGAAAACTGCACGGTCCTTTTGTTCTATTTGCAGAGTTCACCTTCCGTAAGTTTAAGCCACGCAAGGAGGTCATTGACAAGATGAACCCAGACGCCAAAAAGAAGGCTGTGGAAGCTGCAGATAACATATTTGGTTTCTAATATCCAGGCTGTGTCAATTGAGCCAAGATGCCCCCTGCTTCAAGCTAAAACATATTTCTAAATAATAATCAAGTCATATCCCCTCATGACTTTCATTTACTTGAAAATAACAGTCTTTATATTTTTTAACCTCAATTTCTGAAAAAAAACGTTCAGGGAAACAACACAAACTACAATAAAAGTAATAAATATCTAAAACCTAGATGCTTTGAAGTACTTTTGTCAATGTAGCAAATTTTTGCCTTCCACTGGAACATTGAAAGGTGATGATAAGTTTATCTATCTATCTATATACTGTTTATAGTCTTGTGGTGCCCATCAAGAAGCATAAGTATTCTTTGTGATATATTAATAAAACAAAACAAGAGACATTATCATTATCCTGTTGGTCTCTGTAAATTCTTCGCGCTCAAGGTAAGTTACCACAAGTTAGCCAGGGACACGCTCAATCAGCTCTAAGCCGAGTTGATGGCTCGGCTGTGAGTGCCATTTGGCTCTCTATCTAGTGCCGGATTTTCCCATCCTATTGCTTTGATGCAAATGACCCCAGGAACACTGTGGCAATAATATTGTAGAGCAACAAGGTCTCTCAGACAAGGTAATATTTAAATTGACTTTGACAAGGAACAAAACTTCGAGAATAGAACTTCAGAGAATGCTACTGGGCGTTTTTGTTGCAAACGACTTGGCACAGTGCAGCCAGTGCTGATGGAACAAAGGCAAACCGTTGAGCTTTTCCTCCTGTAACTCACGAACTTTGTCGTGAGCATATTGTAAGTTTCCTTTGGCAAATGCCTACGTACTGATCAGTTGTTTCAGGCTATTTCGGCAGCACATCACAGGTGTGACATCTCCTGCTATGGTCCTAGAGATCTACTCCGGGAGTAGATTTCTCGCTTGTTCAAGACGATCCAGATGTTAAGACAGTTGTAAATTTTTAGATTAATTGTTCCTAGTGTTCCTCTAACATGGTGCTGTTTGGGTTTGAAATCTGGTAAGCTAAATGCGCAGGCCATGCATTTTGTAGAATGTATCCAATCTTTCCAAAACAGCAACTTCCCTTTTTTCTTTTCTTACTTTCTTGTCCAGCTGAGAACACCTATAGTTTCATAATAAAAACCATTACATTCTAGAAAATCCATTAAAAAGGAAATGCATGTTTCATTGGATGAATGGAAAGAAACAGAAGCTTCATTCCCAGATGCATCTCTCCAGATATGACAGACATGACGAGGTAGTAGCAAAAAATTACAAACACAATAGTTCCTAGCAAGCCTGAAAGGAAGGAAACAATTCCCGGCATTGTCAAGCTGAATAAAAACTTGTTCAGAAACGAAGGAGTTGGAGGATTAACAAGCATGAAAAAAATGATGTGGAGAAGCCAAATTAAAGACAAAGCCAAATTGCAACAAGAGAAATAATAAGATTGAATCTTTTTCTCAAGGACTTTCTTACCCGAAAATGCCAAAAACAAGCTTGGCTAGGTAGAAGAGAACCATTGTGTCTGCCTGAGAGAAAACCAACAGTAGAATCAACACAAAACTTAAATGGTAAACTAGAATGGTACTTTCTCTTGCTGTGGGAATGCCTTGTTCAGAACTTGAACATCATCTAAAAAGGAAATCACTGCAACACACTTTACTTCTCTCCCCTTAAGCCAATTGGAAAAGAAGCAATTATTTGATTTAGTGGCTATTTTATCCCTATTTATCCCCCAAGATTCCAAGGATCCATAGTGACAGTATATCTAAATCTCATCCCATGATCACATGTGTTATACTCACCCCCCTTTCAAAAATGTTAATATCCTCATTGACTATTGATTAACAACCCCTACTGAGCCAAGGGAAACTAACACCTTCATTTCTACATTGAATCTACCAATCCTTCTATGGTGTAGACTAGTTATTCCATGTGAGGCAACTAGTCATCCACCCTATTTATTCCCCAAGGTTCCATATGAGGCAATTAGTCATCCACCTTATTTATCCCCCAAGGTTCCAAGGATCCACAGTGACAATATATCCAAATCTCATCATATGATCACATGTGTTACAATCATATCTTCTAAAAAATAAAACATAAAACAACATTACCATGAAGAGTATTGATCCTATTATTGTGTTTAATGCGATCACGTAAGTTGGGAAGGGTGCACGCACAGACCACGTAGTTTTAACCAGAGATCCAGACGTATAAGCTACACACTGTCACACAATATTGCCAGATGAATGAAGAAAGGGAAAATGTAGAAGAAAAGGCTTACCATGAGAGTAACATTAAAAGGCAATGAGAAACCAGTCGAAAACAAGCATGGAGCCTTTGCATTGAACAAGCTAAAATCATTGGTGAACGCCAGCGTCGTGGATGAAAGACGTCTCACGGTGAAATTGGCATAGCCGATCACAGCTTCAAGCAATCACGTAGAAGAAGGGTTTAAGAACAAAAGATGGAAAAGAGCTTCTTACCATAGAGAATTCCCAAGAGGAGGCAGAAGACTGTGAGGAGTATCACCACCCACAAGAGAGCGTTCTTTACCCTTTGTGTCACAGTCCTGGAAATCACCAAGAACAAAGAAAATTTTTGAGATCATGGAGGAATAGAAAGAACTTAAGAAACTCTAGGAGGAGCTCGGTCGATCAAGTGTTCTAAGAACAAGAACAAAGAGATGGAAGATTACTTCTCCTAGAAGAAGATTGTGAAAGGCAAAATGTAGAAAAAAAGGCTTCCCATGAGAGTAACATTCGAAGACAATGAGAAACCAGCCTGTTCAGAATGTAGATATTGATCGCGAAGACGGCAGCACTACATTGTACTCCATCTTTCACCAGACCACACGCCCAAGAACCCTAATTTCAACGGCTGGGATTTGATCCAGCGCTTAAGGATTTTAGCTTTGGGCGCGCGATATCGGGGATCGGGCCCCTCGAGGAGCTGGAACGGGGAGCGAAATGCCGGTGGCGATGGATCCTCCAGCTCCTCGGCCGTGGTAATCTATAGCGTGCCGGGCGGATTGAGGGATCCAGGGCGATTGTGGGTGTCGTGGAGCAATGGGAACCAGCTCCAGCTCTCTTATAGCGAGAATGCTGTGGGAGGCGGTGGAAGAGTCACGGAGATTCATCTGGGAGAAGGATGGGATGCGAGAGGCGGCGACTGGCGTATGATTCTCTCCCGGCTTTTGCTCTTCTCCAGAACCAGCGGCAATTGGGCTACAACCCAGGCGCCTGGTATGAAAAATTCTTCATTTTTTCTCTAGAAACGCTAGTTGTGATCGCAGGTGGGAGCATGTTTTAGAATATAACAAGAGCATTCGCAGCGTTCTCGACCAGCCCACCCAAGGCAAGGTTAGCCATTGTATCATGCGTGAGAGGATGATGTGAAAGATTTATTTGATTGTTTTTTTTCTTGCAGGAGGAGAAGTCCTCGATGCTTAAGGCTGTGTGGGAGCTCATAGAAGTTTTCTATGTGGACAGAAGCGCGACATGGTGGCTTCCGGAGAGTCTTGTAGATTGGCTGGCGGTAAGAAGCAGTGAGTTTTTTCTTGACTTATGATTCATTTGCCTGTGAGCTTTGCAGGAGTATGACAGGAGTCCTCTTGAGTGATGAAGACACTTTACATTCCAAGGTAGTGTCGTTCCAGCAGAAGCTTTCCGAGATTCAAGTAAGTTCGAAGTCTTGCAGCTTTTTGTTTTCTCTTTGTGTATCATTCTTTAACGTGCACTTGCAGTTTCGGCCTTGTCAGTCGGATGGCTTGACGTTGTTGGACTGTCCGTGTAAGTTCAATTGGTAATCTTAATCTTCCAGATAGCGTTCTTGCGGATGCATGGATCGTATCGATTGGATCAACTTGATGACCGGCAGGTTTCTTTCTCCATGCTGTTTTGTTGGACTTGCGTTAACTTCCGGATGCTTTTTTATGTCTTGGCAGACTGAAAATGGCCTCGTAGAAGCAGCTACACTGCTCATTATGCAAATGCCGCGGCTGTGCCCGAGGCTCCCTGATGGAAGTCCTGGTGTTGCTATAGGTTTTAAGCCTGACTTTTCTAAGGTTTGATGTGGTTGCAGCAAAGTTTTTAGTTTCTCAGATTTTATTACATGCAGGCAAGGGGAAAATGGCGAAGTCAGGTTTCCAAGCTTGAAAATAGTGTGTTTTGGGCGGAATGCAACCACCGTGGGACGCTTCTTGGTCTTAAGAAGCTAATACAGGTGCTATTGGGAAACGTTGATGTTCTACAGCTCTCTACGTTTCACTGGATGGAGCTGCTGGTGGCCTTTTTCTTTGGTGTGTATGAACTGTGTAGTGTGCTAAGTTCACTTGCAATTATCGGGTGCAGGTCTTAGATGGAATGCGTAGCATAGCTTCCAAGTGCAAAGGATTGAAAAGTTCTGGGGACGAAGACCTTCAAGAACTTTTATCTGCAGTTATCAGCAACGACACCGAGGTAAATGCTCTTCCCCGTCACAGTGGAGTTTAATCTAGTACTATACAGATACTCTTGGCGAAGTGTTGGAAGGTTTTCAATGCCTGGTAAGAACTTCTCATGTCGAATATTTACATAAATTTTCTATCAGGATGATGGCGCATGTTAAAGGGGAGGACGTTCGATATCTTCTTGAAGAAGACAGGAAAACTCTAGGCGGCTTTGAAAGAACTCCATCGTTTGGTTTATTCTCAAGTACTGTCTTCGCACAGCTTAACCTTTGATTTCTTTGTTCTTGATGTCTGTCTAACAATTATCTCAGCTAGCACCTGTTTACCTCGCGGCTTGCCCAAAGCAAGGCCTGGGATTGAAGCTCTCCTAATGAAGCAGAGTTGTTCCAATCAGAAACTGGCATTGAATGTTGGTCTTGGTGTGACGATTTCTTGAATCTCAATGTGAATTTTGTGCAACAGGCACTAGAGATATGCCGCCTCTATGAACTTGATACCGTGAGCACAGCCATCGCCAGGGTTTAGTATCCTCTTCCTTTCCAGGCTTGGGGTTGTCACCTGTGTTTTATGTCTTCCAGGCTGTTGGTGTTCATAGTTTTAAAACATGGAAAGAAGGGCCAAGGGATAATGTGGCTTAATTGGCCCGAGACGAGCAGAGGCTTTCTGATCTTGCAGATAGCTTTTGAACACAATAACGTCTGGTGAAGCTGATAATCTGGATAATCTCGAGGTGACTTCTAACTTCACGCAGGTACAAAAGCTTCAAGGCAGCGCTGCAAAACATCAGAGATCTGCGTCGTAGGGAGGCTTCCTACACCGAAAACCTCGCTGCGCGAGGCAGAGCAGCGGTGACTTCTCTTCTCCAGGTTACCAATCCGTTCGGAACTTCTTCTTGCTCACTAAAACCCCGGCTTGCAGCTTCTAAAATCTGGAACCTTTCCACGTAAATTCTGGCTGTCCTTGCTCCAAGAATCGGTATGGAGCTGTTCTCACATCTCGTTTACACTCTAAACTTCGGATCGATCAGATGGAGCTGCTGGAATGGCCGGAGCAAGTGCTGGTTAGCGAGTCCGAAACAAACACTCTACTCTGCTGCCTCCAGGAACTCTTCCTCGCCAGGGACCGCCTAGAGAACGACATCCTAGGCACCGCAGAGCCTGGCGCTGTGGATCGCCTGAGATTGGCGCTGGCATCCAACTTGGGCCGTGCCATCTTGCAAAGCTGATCGTTTCTACGAAGGTAGGAAGGATTTCTTCTTGAACTGTACAATTCAGAAGCGTGAGTCTAATTAAGCAAATAGTTTGACCGTAAAACTTCGCTAAAAGTCAATTTTTAGTCAACACAGTCTTCAGTTATTGGAAGTGTTTCATTGGCTGCCATTACACACCCCTTTAATCAGTTGGGTTTAGGGTAGGATTGTAATATTATTGTTTAATTTTCGTGGGCAGAAATATTTTGAAAGAATATTTAACATGGTGGATCTAAAGGAAGATAATAAACCCTAAGAAAAAGACTATAGTGACAGGAAGGTGACTTAAAGATGATTGCAATTATTTCTTGGCGAGGGGAAAATTGTTAAGCACCAAGTTAGGATAATAGGATAAAAAAAGGACTTTACAATCAAATAATCACCCCTTTAACCAGTTAGGTTAAGGTGTAAAAAATAGAATCATACTCCCAGGCTCCATCATGTGGTTCTTGAGCAGTGACACAAAACAATCCTACTCTTGTTCTTGATAGCTTGGCATAAATTCTCTCTGTCCAAAAATCACTAGCTGATTCTCAGCGTGCAACAAATGTAGTTGCTCCACCACGATTGCTGCTGCTTAGTCACCACCACTACCACTGCTACCAGCGCCACTGCTAAACTTTGGCGAGGGGTTTCTAACATTCTCGATGGCTTTCATCAGGACGTTGCTATTGGTATGCTTGGGTGGTGGCATCAATAAAACAGATGCATGCAACACCTCCCTATCCTGCCTTGGCAATCTCAGACAAGTGCAAACAAGATTTTGCTACTCTCCCCTAACAGTGTGATTTCACCCTGTTGACGTTCACGGCCCATTTCCTTCACCATCAATTCTCCAAAGGGTTTTTAAAGTTGTGAAAGTTGACTTAGTGGACCTGTGGTTTTCCACAAGCACTCTACCCAGAGCAATGTACGGCAGTTTATCATGCCCTAAAAGCATATGCGTAAAGAATATGATACCTGATTTTCTTGATATTGGGACTACTGCATGGCGTTTTCTGTTCGGTGTAAATGCGTTTAACTCGTTTTCTGCACTAAACTAATCTTTCAGAACGCTCAATCCACCTAATCACCTTTTGTTTTTTAACCTGCAGTTTTGGAGGTATATGTATGACAAAGTCATGCACGATGAGTCAAGCTATACTTCATTTTGGGATAAACATGTTTTGTGCACTAAACTAACCCATTTACCCCATTAGTCTTCTTCTGGTGTACATACCTCTTCTGAAGGTGAATTGCAATGGCAACCATGGCGACAATGCAGGGAGCCTTGGTGACATTGAGGCGAATTTTGATTTCAGCAAGGTAAAGTGGAACCTGTCTTGCCCAAAGCAGTGCTTAACTCCTTGTGGAATGCTCCAGATTGATGTGCGTTCCAAGAGTTCTGAGGATTACCTCCACACCAACCTGGCACCATCGTTTGGGACATTGAATGCAGAAACAGTGAAGAAGATGGATGAGGTTCTCAAAGTTTGCATCTCGGGAACCACAGACCTTCTAGCCAAAGTGCCACCGAAAGAGCGAACTTGGGAGAAGGTCAACTCCACGTTCATGCAAAATCCCCTGGTTGAGCCAATGGGCGATGGAGTTAGCAGAGCTGACCAGTTTCTCAACAAAAGCTCTAGCGATTTCAAGATTGACAGGTCACCGGACCCAGCTACTGTGAAAGCGGTAAAAGAGTCATGTATTATGGAAGAGCTCTATTAACCTTTGCCGCCTTCTCTCGTCACAGGTTCAGGTCTGGTTTGTGAATCTCATCGCAGATGAGGACGTCCTGAAATCAACCAAGATCGACATTAAAGTTGTTGGGGAAATTGTTGCTTAGTCAGGGGTGACCATTACCAGCTTTGAAAATTTCTTTGCCAAGCATGAGCACCACGAGAAGACCATAATTGACATCGGGGTCTTAAGGTACCCTGATATGCAAAACCCGTACTTCAAGGTTTGTGCCCAGGCTGCCTTTTGTATTTCAGTCACAGCTCATGCTTATGAGTACAGGTGTACCGCATCAAACTCTTTGTTTGGTCTGATAGCAACCGTATTGTGTTCCATCAGGAGGATTCCAATGGCATCATTGGAGGTGAGGTGTCTAATGTAAACCACTGAAGACTGCACGCTCCTTTTGTTCTATTTGCAGAGTTCACCTTCCGTAAGTTTAAGCCGCGCAAGGAGCTCATTGACAAGATGAACCCAGACGCCAAAAAGAAGGCTGTGGAAGCTGCAGATAACATCTTTGGTTTCTAATATCTAAATTGAGCCAAAGATGCCTCAAGCTAAAACATCTTTCTAAATACATGACCTACTTGAAAATAACAGCTATCTATTGTCTTTATATTTTTTAATCTCAATTTCTGAAAAGAGACAATCAGGGAAACAAAGACTTGATATACAAACTACAATAAAAGTAATAAATATCTAAAACCTAGATGCTTTGGATTCCAAGTACTTTTGTCAATGTTGCAAACTTTTGCCTTTGAAACGTGATGATAAATTTATCTCTGTCTATATACTGTTTATAGTCTTGTGGTGCCCATCAAGAAGCATAAATATTCTTTGTGATATATTACTAAAACGAAACAGGACAGTTTGCCATGTGAAGATCATTATCATTGTCTCGTTGGTCTTTGTAGATTCTTCGTGCTCAAGGTTACCACAAGTTAGCCAGGGACACCCTCAATCAGCCCTAAGCCGAGTTGATGGCTTAGTCGTGAGTGCCATTTGGCTCTCCATCTTGCTGGATTTTCCCATCCTGTCGCTTTGATGCAAACGACTCCAGGAACACTGTCGCAATAATATTGTAGAAATGGATTTTGACAAGGAACAGAACTTCGAAAATAGAACTTTAGAGAATGCTACTTGGAACAAGGCAAAGGGAGGCCCACAAAACCGTCGAGCTTTTCCTCCCCCTCTAACTCACGAACTTTGTCACAAGCACATTGTAAGTTTTCTTTTGCAAATGCTTACGTACTGATCAGTAGGCGTGACATCTCCTGCTATAGGGTCGAGTTTTTAGGATCCTAGAAATCTACTCCAGGACAAGACGATCAAGACGTTAATACAGTTGTAATTTTTTTAAATTAATAAGCTAAATGCGCGAATCTTTCCAAAACAGCAACGTCACTTTGGTCTTTTCTTAGT